GGGTGCTACGTCTGAATCCGCCTGAGCTTTAGCTTGATTGTATTCATCTGTAATTCATGGTACTAGAACAGAGCCCATCGTTTTGAAAATAGATCGACAACCTGGTCATGGTAGAAGCAGCGCGTCGTGTTTTTTTTTCACTTTGAGCGAAGATCAGCTAGCTATATATATATATATATATATATATTATATATATAATATATAATATAGATATATATATAATATATATCTATATTATATATATCTATATATTTTATATCGACTTTCTTTGCGGTTGTTTTGTTTGATTATTCTACCAGACAGAATATCACCCCCGTGCCACGTCAAGTTTGATGCCTCGTAGGCTCATGGTGATACGCTGCTGTTGTGACCTGCGTTATTGATTGGCGCACCGCGCGACTTACCTCTTGACTAGACTCAGATCTGGTCAGCAGCTTTAGGGACGTGTCAGACCATAGGCAATTGCGGCGTAGGAGGTCGGGTTCCCCAATCCGAACTGACGAAGTCTCCACCGGAAGTGCCGGACGTGAATCGCCTTTTTTTCAAAGCTTGGATACGGGAAAACTGGGTCGATTGGACAGACCGCACGCGCTTGGAAGTTCATTAGGAACGCAATACGAACAGAGTTGCGCATAAGGCCTCGTTCACTGCAGTGTTCATTGTAGAGCCTATCGCGGGAAAGGAGCCGGGCTTCTTTAGGAAACACGCACACAGATGCCGTACGTGGAGATGGCGTGGCTTGAATAAATAATGCGCATCTCCTTCAGTGCATTGCCACATAACTAACAAGAACCCGCCTCGCTGGTTTAAAATTTCAGTATTGGCAAAAATGACTAATAAGAAACTAATAACCATTACAACAAGGTACTGAAGAAAATAGCTAATCAATATGGAAGATTAATAGCTGCTTGTATGGTTACCATGGTTAATCGTAGGTTTATTCGAGAAATCCCAAATCTAGCAAAATTAATTCAGGTTAGGCCTCTAGTGAAGGTAAGTTCTTAATGCTATAGCTAAAAAAGGTACGAAAAACCTGTTCACAACTGCAAATGCCAAAAACGCCGCTTTATGGCTTTCGAGGTTCCTCGCCTTAGTCCATTCACTTCTGATTCTCTCCTTCCTCTTATACATTTGAGGAAGTCCTCCCGAAAACCGACTTCGTCTGGAGGGAAGCGTTCATTTACTTTTTGTTTGAAAACGCTCCATTTGTATATCCTGGATACGATCGTTAGGCCGTACCACATCAGAGAGGGCCCGCTTAGGTTCTGGCAACTCGCCGCACGATTCGCCTCTGGGGTGCTAGACGGGCAGTTCCTTCTGGCAATTTTGTCGGCCGGCTACAGTCAAACCCGAGAGCCCCTGCCCCTCCAACTTGCTGTAAACTTTTTAAGAAACAGCAAGCTAGATTTTCTATTCTGTTGCCTTTTATGGTCCTACCAAGCTGCCATTAAAAACATCACAACAACAAGCCTCTACTGTTAGCAACTACCCATGACTGGCCAAAACCGAAAATGTATGTCTACACATGCATGGTACTGTACCTAAATTATGATAGGCTTTGACATGCTGGTTGTGGTAACGGGCATGCGTTTATCGCGCTTATCTGGTAGTACCAAACGAAAGCCGGTTATTTCTACAACAAAACAATAAACTCCAATTCGAGATTTTCTCAGTTTAAACAAAGACTACCTATTATTAAATCTCTAGACAGAAAACAAGTCCCGCTGAAATTATAGACTTTTTAGATCGTTCTAAATCAACAGTGGCCGCGTCACTATTGAGTTTATGTGAATATAGAAGAGGCAGGAATACGTTTTAGTACACTACAAGGGTAATAGAAAGACGACAAAGAAGGCACAATGTGGACGCCAAAGAAAATCGCTGCCGTCCAAAAGTGCATTTCTAACAATCGTTCTAGCCTAATCAGGCCACTAGGAAGTAAGGTTTAATAAGTGTACGATATCACAGACCGTTCACGAAGTTCACGTCATACGTAACGAAAGTCAGACAGATGCTCTACGTGAATAATAAAACTAAGAGACTTGGCTGTTGTTGTTTGCTGTCTGATTCTTTCGGGCATGAAGCAATAGATTGTCCCCGCCTTTTCTCGAAGGAACAATTTTTTATCGTTGATGTAAAAATGAACCAAAAAATTATTGCTGGCCTACACACGATCTAGAGGATGTGCTTCTTGTGGGTAGCGGCATATTTTCCGCCAAAGCTAATTTTCTAAGCCTATTGCGCAGCAAAGGATTTCATACTTGATCTCCAAGAGGGTGATTACAGTACTAATGCAGTTTATCATCATATTCCTAAAATTGTTGTGCAGTTTCGAATGGCCGAAGAAAAACTAAGATGTATGCAACAAAATAGGGCCCCAACTTGTAGCACCTAATGGAGAACTGACTGGGAGCCCCTTCCGCAATAAGCCGCCGACCAATTCAGATATGAAGCCGTATGTGTATTAAGATAGAGTCTCAGTATAATGATATCGACCAGGTCACTTATGCCATAAAGAAGGCGTCGGCACATTTACAACGAGCTTGTGAGTGGCTTAGGTTCTAAATGAAAGCATTCGGTGGATAAGTTATATTGATTAAACTTTTTAAGACATTTTAAATTCACACAAACAATCTTCAGAACAAAGTTACTTAGGTGGGCTTCTCTGTCTCTCTCTCGATATATACATACGCCTTGCAAATACCGTGAAATACTCTGTGGAAGAACTATATAATGGCTCATTACTAAGATATAAATATATAAGTATGGGAAAATCTTATAGCTATATGATTTGTTAATTAATGACTAATTATTACTATACAAAGAAAATAGTGACATCCTTGGGGAATTGTCAATATCGCAAATATTAGAAATTATAGAATATCAACAGGCCTGTGGTGGAAAAGCTTTTCCTGTGCCTATTCTTGACAAAGACACAAGCACCAGCGTTGCTACTAACCATAAACTGTGCTTGCTTAAGGTAATCAGGTACGATACCGGACTTAATATGTCTTTGTTTGATTTTGCTGAAGATTATTTTGGATTTTAGTAATCATCGAACGTTTTTCACGAAGTGCTAATAACTTGGTGGAACTAAAGAACGTTCTTTTTCTAAAGGCATGATAGTTCTTTCTGTAGCAGTTGTTGCTAAGCGAGGTAGCATCCATTAATTATTTATAGACTAACAGTTAGATAAAAAGTTGATCAACATCAATGTATTTGTTTATTACTTATCATTAAAAACGCTAGACTATCTACAGTAGAAAAACTACTCTGTTCATGTTACAGTCAGCTTCATTGTGCCAATAAAAGAGACATAGGTAAAAATATCGGAGAAATGAAAACGTTTTCAATACGTGTTTTCGACATCAAGTAAGGATTAGCGTTGGTACCGTCAAATCGTACAAAACCCAATGTATTGGCGACATAACGTGCATCAGAAACTACATCTTCGCGATGGAGTCCCGACACTCGCGTAAAGTTCAATGGGCTGAAATGCACCCCTAAATTCCGTAGTATAAATTTTACGCTACTCTTCTTCCTCGTTATACGCTATGCCTTTTCGCCTTGGACAATTGCGGTTGCAGAGATCTTCTTTAATAGAGATCAACGATTTCGTGCGTTTCAAATAACACAGTTCGTTGGGTGACGGTCTCAAGAAGAAGGGTGCTAGCTATATTGTATCTGCCGCAGTTTCGCGGCAACACACACAAGTGCGTTTTGGATAATTTTCCGATATGTTTAAAGCTTGGTTCAGCCAGAATATATATTCTATGAGGGCCTCAGAGTGCTAAAGTTTTCCGTGGGAAGTTGCTAAGGACGGCAGAGGAACAATTGCTTTAGGCAAGTTCATGACAGGACTGTTATTACAAAGAATGGGACGTTGTTAGGTCAGGTGCTGCTAGTTCAATAAAATAAAGCATCGTACGCGAGAAGTTCGCCGTTTGTTATTAGCATATAATAAATTGAATTTAAACGACAGAGTATGTTAAGCTAAACCATTTTCGCTGATTAACACAGTAAGGTTCGAGTTTAGCTGTACTGGGCGAACTTCCTAATCAAATGTAGCTAAGCGTGTCCAGGCTACTGAGAGGTGCTCTGGATTGTCTTAGATACAGGTTATCGTTGCTTCTATAGCCGTCCAATATTCGTATCTTATCACATAAGCAACCTTCCTATATGCTGTCCTACTACGCAGCCAAAATGATACATGTTTTTTAAAAGCATATTACAAGCCAATTGCGGCCTGAATTAGATTGCTTTAAGTTAATTTCAGCGACGTTCGCAAGTATTATCTCCCACGCATGCCTTGGCTCCTATATTAATTCAACTTTAGAAAGAACTAATTATAATCGGCCTGTTTATGAGTAATGTTGCTCAGAGTTACTTTGTAGGCCAAAATCAACTTGATTCGATTCAGTCTATGCTATGCGCCCAACGTTGATAATAGACTAGAAATAATGACGTCTTTATATCGGATCAACGGAATATATTATCACATTTTCATTATGTCTAAGTGGATAACTGCAACTTCCCCTCCTCGATATATCTGAAAGAAGTACAGGCTTTTTTTTATTTCACAAAGTATTCAACAATATAGTAGAAGTACTTTATACACCGATAGTTAATTCGATATTGATTGAATAGATGTGCTATAGATTAAATCGTTCAAGACACCAACTTTAGCTTTCTAAAGTTCTAAAAGACTTTAGCTTATTTAAGTATAGGAAGGCTTGCTTTCGATCGAAGTATACGTCATTATTATCTAAGACCTGGACGGTAAGCTATGAAGTTTACTATTGTAGAAATCTGGGATATGGGAATCTATGGAGTCCCGAAAAACAATTTTAACATCATGTTCAGGCTGGAATAACTTTTGTAGAGGTTGTCGAAAAGATCGAAATTAGTGGTAAACTGGCGAGTATGGCGGATGGCAGAATTTCCAGCTAAAACTTCTGTGTTTTTATTGCCTTTGTCCTTGCGGAACGAGGTCAAGCGTTGTTGTGCAATAGGCGCGGTACATTTTTTCATTAATTTTGGCTTTGTTGGATTTTTTTTCTTGACAGTGTACAGTGAACCAGGACTCATGGAGTTAAAGCGAATAGCACCTACATTAAATGAGCATCCAAGCACCATATGCCTTTGCAGCTGTACACTTGATCTACCGGTTCAATCTTTACATTTGCCTATTGAGGTGGCCATCTGCGGCGATCCTAGAACCTCCACTTTTCATCGCAGGTGACAATTTGGTGCGAGACTGGGTCCCTGTTGCAAATTGAAAGGAAAGGAGCAAGCGTCTTTGCGTCTATATTTTTATCTTCGCTAAAACCACGCGGCAGCAATTGTTTTACTCGGCTGAGTTGAACCCGTACGGTGTTTTCATGGCCACCAAACCTGGTGCTAATATACAAATACTTCGAGACCTGTCGGTTTGAGAGGTTCCTTTCTTAGCTCAGTAGGTAACGTATTTGTTTACGCTTCTTGATACCTTTCGGTTTAGGTTCGAACCCCAGCACAGACATAACTCACTCCGTGTTGGAAGCCAGCCGTCTGATATAGTGCTTAACGGCGATACCAAACGAAAAACTCAAAAAATATAGGGACTTCCATTGTTTCAAGTCTTGGTTATTGACCTTTTTATGAGGTCCTTTACGAGATTCATTTTCGAGTTTTTTTTGGGGCCAACGGCTCACGGCGTTTGTAGCAGTAGAACCTCCAGCGAACACAAAATTTATATGGCAAGCTGCCTCTGCCACTGTAGTTCGAAGACAAAACCCCATTGGTTAAACGCTTGAGTTTGCGGATTTTATACTATAATTCGCTTGTTAAAAGTCAGAGTGTCGATATCGGGATGAATAGTCTCGGATTCCAAAAAACACAAGTACATCTCAAACGTAAAAATATGGTCATCTTGAGGTATGACACTGTTTATATTAGTCGGGTCTCATGCTGAACAATTCAGTGCTGTTAGTAGTTGCGCAATTGATTGCCACAGGAAGTGTGCTAAAAATCTTGATTTTTTAACCCGATATAAAACTGGGCCATTTCGTTAAATGCAGCTTGCCAGTCGTTTTTACCATGTTGCAGACATAACGCGTTTTCACCAGGCAAGTCCACTTCTACTATAGAATAGTCTTGTAAAAAGAAAAAACGAACGATATGAATCTATACGACGATGAAAGAAGATTGCGCGAGGAGATTGCGCTTTAGCCCATGTTGCAGGATGTTCGTAACAGGTAACAGCCTCGAGGCATAGGTTAAATCTTCAAAGAAAACTAAAGTTTCGGATGAACAAAGTCTTTCGGCATCTAGATTTGATTACCCAAAGAAAGGATTCAGTTGAAGTAAATGTGCTAGCCGCAAGAGACCTACTTGTCCTCAAGTATGAATTTTCAAGCCCCTTTATTCTTCTTTTCGAAGACGAATTCACGAGACAACGCATCAGCAGCCACAATTCAGGCAGGTTAGCCCGCATGTGTTTTCAATCACATAGTTTTGTTCGTTAAGACATTTGCTAAGTTAAGCAGCCCCTGAATGCCAAACGTGTGTAATTGCGTGCACCTAACGTCAAATTCGGTAACTTTGGCCACTAAGTTAATCCTAACGAGGAGAGTTATTATATTTTAAGGTTGAACGTATTCGCTGAATGACTGTCACAAGAATATAATGAAAAATATAGCAGAAAAAAATTGATAATAAAAATATGTT